AAGGCCTTATCAGATGAAGGTTAGCATCCTGCATGAGTGATGAACAGCCGCTCTGAATGCTGTATACGATCCTGTCACTGTTACTAAGAGTTCTCTGTGTGCGTCCTATACAGCACTAAACACCACATATGTTCCACAAAGACTATAATACTTAATACTGCCATGTCAGCGCTGCACCCACAGGACGGTTATGTAAGCTATAAGCTGTGCAAATGTATCGGGACTATGTCAATAGTATCCATCAAAGGCCTGAGTGACAGTGGAAAAATCCACCCTCGAATACCCTTCAGCTGCTATACATCCTCAGCGTGAGACGTTAAAGGAGTCATTCTTCAATGACGTACTTCAATGCATCTTTTCTCTCTTCAAATGAAGGCTTAAGTTATTAAAAGCTTAAATTAAACACCACCCTATATTTGACACCACCCCCCCAATTGAGAAGTCCATCCTCTCCTACTTCTGCCTGCTCCGCTTTTCAGAAAATGTGTGCTCAAACAGGCCGTTTTGAGATTTTCCCTTTGTGACATCACAAAGGGCAGTAACCCCTCCCCCAGGTGGGTGACACTCCCACAGCTAGTTGTTTGTTCTGCTCTTTGAGTTTGCCTTTCCACTGTTAAAAAAAAACAGGGCAGGGAGTAAGAAAGGCCAAGCCAAATTCCCTTCCAGAGAGGGGGTGTGGTCAGACACAGCTCATTTACATATTTAAAGCTACAGACACAGAAACAGCCTGTTCTGGGCAGGGCTGAAATAGAGGGGTTTATAGGCATGAGAAATACAGGATAAGAGTGGATTTACAAGAAACTTCACAGACATGTTTTGGGGAGCTCTGAGACTTTAAACTGGTTGAAAGTTGAGTTTTAATACGTGACCTTAAACAGTTAATGGTATAATTTATGGTAACTCTTAGCTGTGGAAACTCAAACAAAGACTGTTTCTGGAGCGTGCTGTTACTTGCTTTTCTTACTCCTATAACTAGCGGCAGACTTTACAGTAATTAAATAGAAATAATACGTTTTCTCAAATTAATCAATATTAATTTCAGTTTCATAACCATCTTAAACTCCTAACCGGAGCTTTAATTGCCTAATTATAATCTTTTAATAATCATGCAGTATACTTGATAATGAACTGACATTAACTCTCTACAAGCATAAGAGATAATATTTCTTATTGGAAGACATATTTCATCTTTTAAAGATTTTTTCATACATGATTTAAGGGCCTGATTTTGCCCACAGGCCCCAAATTAAAAAAAAGCCCTCTTTGAAACACAATAGTCGTCTCTTTTCTAATAGACCTCCTCTGTCTGCGTGAGCTGTAGTCGATTTGAGGCCATGATGCAAATGTTGCAGAGTTATTACCGACATGTGAGGATGCAAACATCTGTTACAGCACATTTCATCAAAACCTAAATGTGCTCTGAGATAGCTTCACTTTGTCGTACAGCTTTTCCTGCTCATGGGATCAAAACGTGGAAAATCTGACCTGTACGACTCAAACTGGGATTATTTCAAACGTAATGACACAATGTTTGAAGAGGGCTCACTCATGTAGTCTGGTGCTCCCTATGTCTGATGTTTTATTGTACCATACTTTGAATATTATAATGTGTGTTTTTTCTTTCTTTCTGTCACTGTTTACATGCTACATATTTTCCCTATATAAATAAACATTTGATACATAAAATAAATAAATAATATGAAAAATGCTGAGCAGGAGAATCTGCATAGGGAAACAGAGAGAAATATTGCTCACTGTAACTCTAACAGAACCGCAGCCAGTGTCTAAAGCACACAAACAACAGCTGCAAAACAGCTGACAGTTCCCCATGCATTGAAACACACACACACACACACACACACGCACCCTTACCCAACACACACACAGGACGGCCCCATGTCCTGTTGCAGGCATGGGGCGTGTTGTACTCATACATATACAGCTCCATCACACCTGCCACAACAGAGGACAGCTGTTGCGTGCATCACCTCTTACCCTACATGTAACCTCACTGAACACGCACACACACTCAGAGAGCCTACTTTTGCACATATATGAGGAAACGCGCAGAAACCGACGGATTGTGCGCTGACACCTGAGCACACATTCGCTCATACAACAGGACTGGACTTGCACCAGACCTGCACATGAGGCTCCACAAACCAAACACACAGAAAGATACACACCTTTTTTTCTTTTTTTTTTTACCTACAGGGTTTCTGTCAATTAAGAGATTAACAGATGATGATGATCTTATTAGACTGTAAAGATCTGAAGTACAGGAACATTCAAATGTTGCCTTTGGGTCATGTCTGTTACAACTTGAGGGTTGTGTTTAGTCCAGTTCTTGTTCAATCTTATAAACTGTATGTATGCAATTCTTATATGGTGTCCTACACAGATCAGCCATAACATTACCACCAAATGTGCAATATGATGCAGTCCACTTTAACGATCTATACATTCAACTTTTAAAAAAGCTTCTGCATTTTCAGTTTTTGTTGATGTCACCAAGGAAGTGATTCTATCAGTAATATCAGGAACACCTTTCATTTGAATGCACTCTAATAAACTAGCACCTCCCACTGCGACTTCAGTGATCAATATAAAGTAGAATTCTCATCTAACTATGTAAAGAAAAACTTGAAATGTAAAATATTCATAAAAGTAGAATTGATGGTAGGGCTGTTGCTTAAGATTGCACTGGGGGTCAAAATGTTGTTTTTGTACTTTGGTTTTCTGTTTTTTTTTGGTATGATGTTACTTTAGGATTTGACGGCGTTATGTTGCGTTCTTGTCATACCTCAAATCTTCACCTTTGCTCTATGGTTAAGCACCTTGCAAAAAAGTTTTAAATAAAAGACAGAAACATTTAAATACATCTTAATGTGTGTTGTTAGGTGTAGCCTGTTTGCAGGTCGATTTTCTTATCAAGCTAGACTTTGTTCTCCCGTTCCTTGCAGAAATACTGACTGCAAATGTGTTTACTCTTTCAAATTGATACCTTTTGTTCAGCTATCATTTGTTTCATTTTGTGGTTTGACATCAGTTGAGTAATTGAGTAATAAGGTTATTGTCATATCTCACCCAAGCGGCAACCTTTGATACTGAACAAAATAAGCCAATGAGGAAGTGCAATATCAGTTCATCGAGGGTCAACTTGAGGCTGGCTGCAGAGGCCCCAGAAATGGTAAATGGACTTGAACTTTTTTAGCGCTTTTCTAGTCTTCTGACTACTTAAAGTGTTTTTACACCGCAGGTCACACCTATTCACACACTGATGGCGGTGGTTGCTATGTAGTGAGACCATCAGGTGTAACTAATCCTTTCATTCACATTCATACACCGCTGATGAAGAAGCGGGAGTAATTTGGGGTTAAGTGTCTAGCCCAAGGACACATCGGACATGCTGCAGGAGCTGGGGATCGAACCCTTGACCTTCCAGTTGAGAGACGACAACTCTAAAAATGATTTACAGCAGATCTATAAAGTGAGTAATCTTTTATTCCTTTGTCTTAAGTAAAAAAAAAGTTAAATTTAATTAAGCCAACGAGTTTATTTACAGTTTATTCAGATTGGTTTGAGTGTTAAGCTTTTATTTTTTGCCAGTTTCTGTCTTCTTCTTCTTTTGTCCTGTGAAGCCCCTTGGCATTTTTCAGATAAATTAACACGCTTATAAATCAAATTAGCATTAGAGCTCCTGAAACAAGTACTGACCTCAAATATTCTTTTGTAATGTTGGAGCTAGAACTTCTCTCACAACTCGATCCCTGTCGTGGAGGTTTGACCCTCTAAGGCAGCTTGGTTGATTAAAAAAAAAAAGAAACATGCAGCTTTAAATGCAATCACTCATATGGATTAAATTAATGGTATGGCCTCCTTCAGGATATCTGCTGCATGTTTTATTAATAACACACACACACACACAAGGAACCAGCTCAAGGGGAATGCTAATAGGCTTATACACACACACACACAAAATAAATGTCAGATTCATGCCACACAGTAACTAAACCTCAGCTCCTCCTCCTCCTCATGTGTTCGATGCTTAAGGGGGACGGGTCCTTTGGAAAGGATATCACAAATTTTCACCCTCTTGAATTTGAATTTAAAAAAGGAAAGACTGAGAGAAAACGGGGACCAGAACAGGAGAGAAGAACATTTTATAACCCATAAATAAATAAGTGATGTGCCTCTCCCGCCTCACCCTCTCTAACCGTTCCCCTCGCTCTCCGCCCTTCTCTCCGCCCCTCCGTCTATCTCACCGTCTCGCTGGGGGGGGGAGGGGACTGATGAAAGGAGTATGAGTGACAGATAAGTAGATGACTCTGCTGTCCCAGCCCTCATTAAAACTCTGCGTTTATATCATCCGCCGCTCTCACCCTCCTCCTCCTCTGCATCCAGCCCCCGCAAATGATACCCCGAGGAGAGAGAGAGAGAGAGAGAGAGAGAGAGAGAGAGAGGGGTGGAGGGGAGGGAGGTGCTGCTCATCAGTTATTCCTGTTCTCTGACCTAACTCGACAACAAGCTCCAATAATGAGACAAAGAGGGATGAGATGGAGGTTTTGCCGGAGACCAGGATGTTGACAAGGAAGTGAACTGTCCTAAATTGGCAGATAATAAGGTCTGCTGCGGCCCCGTCTGCAACGAATCATTGTTCCAAACCTCCTCCAGCGTGCTCGGAGATTCCTCGGAATACTGTAGATCTCACACATGTGGTCATACAGGGCGTTTTTTCCATTTACAAGCTTTATCCTATGAATAGACTGTGGGTGAGTTGCGGGGTTAGTTGCACTGCAATAATGGCTTCTCTTTTTTTTTTTCACTGGAAGCTCTGACATTTCATTGTAACCCTGTGAGTCAAACTGTAAAACCTCCAAACCCAAACAAATCACACATTGTGCCTCCCTGCACAAACAAGAACTTAACTATAATCAAACATGGAATAACAAACGTGAAAGCCAAAACTGTGAAACAAGGCTTAAAAAACAACAAAAAGGTAAATTAATATCCTCTTTTTATTCATTATTTTCCACTGGTTTTGGTTTATTCATAATCTTGTATAAAAACTCATGAAAAACCTGACAAGCATTTGTAGTCCAGTGTGTTTCTAAAGCCACATGGACTTCTGGAGTGCATGGAGAGGCTCCCTGCATGCTTTCAGCCACAAACAGGAAATAATCAAGAGCTAGGAACTTGCAAGTACAATAATAGAGTGTTAACAGTCTTTTTAGGCACTGAAGTCTCTGGAGTCATACGTCCGGACTCGGTTCTTTAGTTCTCTTCTTGAATGGATTTAAGACTACATGATTCACACCAGCACTTCCAGTTGATTCAAAACGGAAAATTAGAGCATTACTACTGTCGTCGTGATGCAGGAGGTAACAACATGGTTTCCCAGAAATGGGGTCAGATAAATGTCAAATTAACATGACTATGAAGGCCAGAGAACCGACAACTCATTTGAGAACCAAAATGGAAAGAAACAAAAAGCAATCATGGAAATGGTGGTAATGCAAATTGGGATTAAATGACACAGAACGAATGCTGATTCTTTGTTACTTGGTCCCGTAGTGCTTGGTTGAAGGCTGGCCGTACAGACCGTAGAAGTCAGGGTGCCTTGCCGTCTGCGAGGCCTCCATTAGCCCCCTCATGGGGAAATGCTGCAGGGGCTGGCTTGCAGGAAGGGATGCATGAGGGGGAAACTCCTGAGAGGTCATTGAGGGGAAGGAGTCCGAAGCCGGATACGGAGGTCGCGCACGAGTAGCAGCGGGGGTCCTGGAGCAGCAGCAGTTATTCAAAGTGCACATGAGCACTTTCCTGCCTTCATACATGGCTTGTTGCGAGGCACCTCCGACGGGGAAATGTGAGGGGGGGAATATGGTCCCTGAGTGGTGGCTAGAGCTGGACCCTAGACCCACCATGTGATGGGCAGAAGAGTCAAGGAGTCGGCTGTGACCGGGGCCGGCGTGAGGATTCTGGGAGAGGCCATCAGAGGAATAAATGGACGACGTTCGATGGCTCTGATCAGCCAGGAAGGGTTTCTTGCTGCTGTAGAGCAACGGTGGAGGATCCTGGGAGGTGGAGTTTGTTGTGTTACTCTCCAGGAAAGCCATGCTGTATTTTCTCTTCTGTAGTCCTGAACTAGTCCCTGTGTGGGAGCCAGAAGAGCTGCAGTGAGACGGGACAACCTCAAGAATGGACGCCTCACTGATGGGTTCTGAAAAGAGAAAAATCATATCAGTGTTTAGACAATTTGATATCACCAACATTACTTCTTTTTTTATACGCACACTGTACATATTTATTCCAAAAAAAATAAACAAATGAATAAAGATCAAATTAAAAGGACTGTTTATTTCATAGAGAAAAGGGTAGAGAAAACAGAGAAAATATATTAAATGAAATTAAATAAACATCAAGGTAATAGAATAATAAGAGATAAACGAAGAGCATATAAATACATGTATATATATTTTTTTAAAGCGATTTTTCTTGAGTCTTTGCCATTCTTCTTTTCGTACCTTCCAACACTTTGCGCAGGTTCTTTTCCCTTGTTGCGAGTTCAGAGAGTAAATGATGAGAGTTAAGTTGGCCCACTCTTAATGGAGGGATGGCTGTGATCAGGTGTGAGTTGGACCTATGAGAAGGAGACAAACACAAATAAAATGCTGTAGTCCTGATTCAACAAGCTGTTTGCACCTCTGGCTCTGCACTCAGGGACTTCTGGTTTATATGAACGCAAAGTCTCAGCTTTATGACTGATGTACACCTTTCATCTTGCAATTTGAATTGCTCCTTTAATCTCATGAATAAAGAGAAGAGATACAAAAAGGATTGTGAATTAAATATTCTATATTTTCAGGGTTTTTAGACTATAAGTTGCTTTTGCTCAGATGATTCTTTTGTTTTAGAACTCAGGGAAGATTGTTTCAGGGAGATGAATAATTGTGGTAGAAAATAGAATTTATCATAAGTACTTTATGTCATCAAACAACTTAAAACAAGTTGCTGACTCGTACTTTTTGTAAATAAGTCCGCCTTAATGAAAAAAATAAATGTATGACTTTCTTCTCTTTAATGCACAAAATTCCAATCTACCTGTACTGTCCTGTACCTGTGCAAATGGCAATAAACATCTCATCTAATCTTGATCTTCTACAAGCTAAGAGAGTTCAAATAGAAGTTCAATGCTCACCTGTCCATTAGCAGCTGGTAAGGTTTTGTGTTCTGAAAATGAAATCAAAAGCAGCGGTCATTTAGATTGTTGACCATGCATGATGTCCGTTATGAATGTTGTGTTTGATAATCTTAACAGTCGACCTGCGTTTGTGCAGGTTAACAGATGTGAATGCATGTGAGAGAATTAAGACAAGTACCTTCATGAAGTTGACACTGTCTGCTCTTTGGAATAACATTTGTACAGAGCTCAGGAGTTTTTCCGCTTCCTGGCGCTTCTCGTTGAGCTGCAGAACCTGCTGGGAGTTTTTCCTCACGTATGCCGTGAAAGTGCTCTCCAGCATCTGCACCGATTCAACCTGGTTGGCTTCTATTAACGCCTGCATCCTCTGATACTGAGCTCTCACACGCTCCTTGAGTTCAGACACCGCATCCTGCCGAGAGGAGAAGAGACGAGGTTATTCAAAAACATGTGCAGATACACTCTTAGAGCTATAAAATGCATATACACAGAAATTATACGGGCACACTACCTAGTTTGCACGCCCAAATGAATTAACTCGAAGAGTATAACTCATCCTATGAAGAAAGTTGTGTAATGTTCTTGGTGGTCTGGAGGAAGTATTGTTATGTATGAGAACCTTTTACAACTTTAGATTGTGTAAAGTTTTAATTTTCTTCTTTAATAAGTGCTCTGCGTTGGAAAAAAGAGCAATATCAAACCGCTGGAGTGCCAATTTAAAAAATAAAATAAGCTTTTTTTTTTTACCAAGTTATTCTGCAATTATTAGCATAAGCATCTAATTTCCATTAATTTCCATTCACACCTTCCAGCAGAAAACAGATAAAAAACTGGGATAGATTATGCTTCAATACACAATAATGAATTAGTGTGCTCACTTATGCATATTAAAGTACATTTGTATTAACTATATTTTGTGGAATCAGTGCTTTTTCTTGTTCGGAGATAAAGTAGGAAAGTCATTTTAGAGAATGCCTTTTCTTCCAGCGAATGCACAAGCCATTCAAACCTGCAGCTAAATAATCATTTCTTGTCATTTTCAAACAGTGAACAAAGGTGCAGAGTCAGTTCATTACAGCACCAAACCCCTCATGATACTGAAGAACTGAGGGACCAGAGCTGATTGTATTCAGTGTTTCTGTTATGATACGCAGTGTGTGTGTGTGTGTGTGTGTGTGTGTGTGTGTGTGTGTGTGTGTGTGTGTGTCGTACTGTACCTTCATCAGCGTTTTGTCTGACTCCAGCTTGGTGAGCTGCTCATCGATGTTCTGAACACGACCCTCCAGTCTGTCCTGCTGCCTCATTAGCATGGCCTGTGGAGAGATGACATATTGAGAGATGGATTAGACAGATGAACCTCGACAAGATACACTGAAAATGGAAATAATAAACAGAACACACAAAAACACACACACACACACACACACACACACACACACACACACACACACACACACACACACAGTCTGCCTTAATATTAAGGATCTGTTGTGACCTCAGTAACCCTGGGTGCTATTCATTAATCACTAAGACAACCTCCTGCACAATCCTGATGAGACGCAGGACACAACAGCTGCCAGCAACGAACACATGCATTTATCCATCAGGCAAATACACAATTGCCCAAATCCATGTTTCTAAGTTGATCAGGTGCCGTTCTGCATCAAGTGAGAGCCATTGTTGGGACCTGCCTACTTCCTCTGTGGGCTGAGTGCAAAAAGAGTCAGTAAACACAATCCTTCTCCATTTACCGCAGGAGACGGAAATCAATCTGCAGTCACAGGCTGACAGCTAAGTAGGAGCAGGGGAGGGCAGGTAGGCTTTTTAATGAACTGTTTCTGCATGGGAAAGGCACAGTGCCCAAATGAGAGAACCCGCTGTCATGGCAACAAAGCCTTGTGTATGTATTTATATGTGAAAGCTAATGTGTATGTGAGGGTGCAAAACGTGTGTGTGTGGGTCCGTGTGTGTGTGTGTGTGTGGTGTTGGTGGGTGGGTGGGGGGGGTCTCACTACCCCTCTCTGCTTTCTCATTTTGCCACATGCATGGCTCCCATTGTTTGCATTGGCCTCTGTGTCAGTGACAGATTGTCACGTCTGTGTGCACAACGCCGGGGTCTGCTCGCTCCCTCCGCGTGAGTGTGCATGGGCGAAAAAAAAAGAAACGGCAGGAACGGCAAAGTGCTGTGGGGGCTCTGCGTGCACATGCCAAGAACGGACAGAAAGGAAGCGTACAAAAAGAGACTGAAATCGACAGAGGGAAAGTTTGAGGCAAAAAAAAAAAAAAAAAAAGAGAGAGACAGAGAGAGAGAGATAGGGAGAAAGAGGACATTCCTGTGGTCTCCAGTGAGTGAGTTTCAGGGTAGCTACATTGTGGTATCACAGCAACAGGCCTCTTCAGCTGCTTACAACACTCATAGAGTCTTATGTTCAACAACTGGCCAGCCACTAAACTTCACCACAATGAACACTTGAAAGAGTGCATTTAGTTCCTGTAACAAAACAGCAAGAAGGAAATCTAATGACATAAAATACTAGCTGATAAATGCTACACTCACATTGGCCTTACTCTCTTTTTGTATGTAAATATTTGACAACGATTTAGGACTGGAAGCCCAACCGGGGAATAAGAATATGAGAAATGAATGATTGTAAGCTGTTAAACATTACAAACACATTATTAACATTAACTTTTTTTTTTTTTGTCAACTTCCCGTCCTGACAACATCCTGCAGAACAGGACCAACTCTGAAATCCGTTTGGAGTCATGTTTCTGGTTAATCAAAGCCTTTGTCTGGCTGTCGGCTGCAGCAGATAATATTGTTGATAAGAGTGGAGAGTTGAGTTCAGGTGCAGGAAAACTAGTTCTGCATCATAAATCACATCTTCATTAACTTGAGTAGAAGATTAATTGCAAAAAAAAAAAACTGTGACACTGGATGATTTAAAAACACATTTTCTGTTCACATGTCATGCATTCACACTAGAATAGTTAAAAGACCTATCAGATAGAGCTTTACATTTTAGAGACACACCATTTGAGCAATCAGGTAAAGCCCTAGCTAGCTGTCCCAGGTGGCTAACCTCAGAGGAGTTGGTGTGAGCTAATGCTAGCTTGGTGTTAGCTTGAAGGATGGTTGAGGACAAAATGAAGTGCGAGGGAAAGGTGGATGGCGAATAAAACTTCTACCGGGCATAGTTTTGAGTTCAGAAGAGACAAAAGTGACAAATAAGTTTACTGTGTAATGCATTAGAACAACAGAAACACTTGGGAACTAGAAGTCAAAGTTTTGATGCTTGCTTCAGTATAGCTTCACAGATTGATTTAGTCATAGCCTCATTGCAACTTTTTGACTTTCTCGGATTGGTTAGCTGAAGAGAGACAGGACATTTGGGGAGGAGAGGGGGGCAGGATGACATGCAGCAAACGGCCAAGGTCGGACTCGAACCTACAGGTGTGCAATAAGGCCACTATAGCCTCCGCACACGGGGCGCGCGACATAACCGCTAGTGCTAGACTATCGGCGCCCTTCCTCATTGCAATTTGAGCAAACTTCTCACATCCATGCGTGCAGGCTAAAGTGCTAAACCAAATCAGTGACACTAAAAATGCCAAACAGCATGATAGTTTGGAGGGTAAGTGAAGAGCTCAGAGATAATTCGCTGTGTTTTTGTCACTATGAGCAACCACTCTGAAGTCAAACACTGGCAGATGTTTGATCTGTTGTTCATTTGAGAATATTGATCAGGGTGGCTGTAAGTGCGTAGTAGAAAAGCATGCAGTTACATGATCATGCATTAATAAGAGCATCTCTGTTGAGGTGAGTGTTAATGGGTATATGAATTGAATACTGAGGGTATACAGTGTGACATAAACGTATGAGGTATACAGGTACTGAGAAACAAACATGGAAACGATTCTTATCTCGTATTCTTCGTACTGACAGTTTCACTCTGCAAAGATATCCGAGGAGTGACGTTCTTAAACAACCGTATTGACAAGTGTGAAACTGTATTACTCATAGTCGAACAATTCTTGTGGTCTGCTGACCACTTTCTGCTCATCTGTGAAGTTCTGTTAAATGCGCTGCAGACAGTGCTAAGAGCAGTGGTTCACAGCTGGTGGGTCGGGACACCAAGAGCGAGACGCAGAGACGTTTTCTCTGTGTGCCTAGAAAAAAAAAATTGTCTCAAAGAGTCTGTGAAGCGCTTTTTATAACACTCAAGTTTTTTTTTCCACTTCCTGCTTTGTCACGTTTCCTACTGTCTCAGGTACAAACTGCACAATTTTTCATTAAATAAATCTGATTAATTGAAGAAATTTGGGTCAACATTTGAGTTGGCAGTGGGTCATAAGTCGAGACCAAGTTTAGAACAACCTGCTTAGTGTACAGTTGGAGCCTTGGGCCCCGTGTCCACCTAGCGTTTTTTCCGGGCAGAAAAGGGCCGGCTGTGCTCTCGGGAGTGTTTGAATGAAGCGTTCTGAGAAGCACGTCTGTCCTGTCTCTATGACAACAGTTTGTTGACAACGGCCGCTGTATGACCGACACGGCTCCGTTATGTTTTATGTTTGAGATCGCTTTTTCTCCAGGCGACCGCTTTCTGCTGCAAATGCTCTCTACCCATTGAAAACAACTGAAAAAAAGACGCTGGCGCTGGAAAAAAAAAAAAATGCTAGGTGGACACAGGCCTTAGTGTTCACTCGTGGAAAAAGTAACGTTCCGTAAACTAACTTTTCATCTAGGCACATATTTCTAAATGTTTACACTAATACCAATATAAATAAAAGAGGCTCATCTAGATGTTAATATTTGCCATCTGATGTATCAGTTAGAATAAGGGAGAGTCAAGAGGCAACTTCCGGTGGTGAAAAATGAAGCCCAAAGCAGAAGTGCAAAAAACTAGTTCCTCAAGTGTCCACTTGAGGCAGGCTCCAAAAGACCAGGAAGTCCCATACACACCCTATGTTAAAATGTCCATTTCTACAGCAGAAATAAACATGTTTACCGACTGGTCCAAAAAACCATCTTGGTCTTGTGTCTTTATCGGGGGACATTTTACAGGCGATTCATTTTGTATAACTGCCTTTTTTGATGATAAGGGGTTTGGCAGATCTGACTGACAAGTAGTAGTTGTTTGTCATGAGGCTGAAGGCCCCCCCCCTCAGCTGCACCTCTTTGCCTGTAATTACAACCAGAATGTAGGTTGACCTACAGTGAGTCAACTTACATGTTGGTTGAGATAGAGTTTTCAATATGGCGACCATGGATGGGCTTCAGAAGTGTGCTTTAGAAACCAATGGGAGACATACTGAGACTTAGTTCATGTACAGTCTATAGAATCAATATAATTGTGGAGCAAATGAAGATATCATACCATGATTTACACTTAACTACTGCTGCAGTTAGCTCAATGCTTTCTCCTTAAGGTACCTCGTGGATTGTTTTTAACAACCGATGACACTTTAGAGTCGTGTTATGATGAGCAGTTCCTTGTTTTGTTTGTATCACATGCTATAACAGATCATGAGGATATGGCTGTTTTTAAAAGAGCTGTGCATGGTGAGCAAGCTATGTTTGGGATTTCACAACAGCACATCAAGATCTATCAAATAGACTCATGATGAGGAAAACACATCCAAACCCAAAGACCGGGGAGGGGTTTGGGCGTTTCAGATGTTGGGTATTCATCTTTTTATTAGTCTGTCGATGAAAGTGGAAAAGAAGTACGCTGCAAATGAAGGTGAATGAGGCTTCAACGCCAACTTCATACATCATAAAAAAAGCATTCATTATGTTTAGTAGACCTTTTAGTGCGATAACTCGCTGACTTTGGCCTGTTCTAACATGAAAATGTGGAGGTTACAGCGATTAAAAACTTCAGTTTCCCTCTGTTGTACATTCTTAAAACTCCCAAATCTGCTTGTAAATTTCTGACACGACTTTGTGGATTCTTTAAACTTCAATGTTGGGTGGGTTCCTTTTACAAGCCCCCAGATTTTTTTTTAACCCTCCAGTGCATTTTTTTTTACGCCTACTTCTGTTTTATTTTACTCTCGTTTCTGCACAAATAAAGAACAAATACAATACAACACTTTCAGTTAACCCTGAGTGTAATTCAAACTTTACTGTGTTGATTATACATATTTATATTGTTACATCTTTACTTAGTTTTGTTATTTAGACACATAGGTCCATATCAGAATTATAAAACAAACATTACAGATATAATATTATCTTATAAAAGGCTGGTTTTCACGTCTTAAACCAACAGAGTGGTCCTTTAATCCTGTGTCAGCCTCTGGTAACACATCTCCACTCTACACCTTGCTTACACAGCAGGCAGTTTCAGTTAAACAGTCCTCTTCAAACAGTCGGATTATATGCACAACAACAGACTCTTCCTTTCACAAAGTTAGCTTCATCTGGTATTTAATGCGCTCTGTGTGGACAAACTACAGGCAGCACATTTGCATTTATCATGACTGCTTTGCTTTTGTTTATAAGAACTCAGTGGTTCCCCAAACCTATTCCAAACCTATTGTGTGACTGCTGTAGAGACAAAAAAAGAACACTTTGTAGGGTTATTGCTATTGTGATTGGTACATTAACTGCTTCATGTTGATTTTTTTCGGTGCCTTTATGTCTCTCTCATGTTTCTGTTTCCTCTTATTCCCCTTTTGCCCTGTTTTGTGCTTGAAATAGCATAAAGGGACATGAGGGAACAGTCTGATTGCAGATCTCTCTGCAGCAGCGTGAAAGCCTACCTTTATCAAGATTAAACCCCGCCAATGATCACTTTCCCCACTGTCCTATTTAGGCATCCAGACACCCGCGGGTTGCCAGGAAGCTCATGTTTAAATGAGGAGCCTCAGGCTCAATGAACAGAGAGCCTCTTTCACAATCAACTGACAACTATTCCCCACGACTGATGTCAATGGACTGCCCTCTGCATTCTGGGGGAACTGACTCACTGAAGCCCAGATACAAGAACAGCAAACGTCTGAGCCACCATAACGATGGTTTCCTGCTGAGGAGCCTGAGAAAACCAAGGTGAGGTTGTGTGGGAGGGCTCTTCCTCCTCCCCCGCCTGTCCCAGGGACCACATTACTATTATATTACCCTTCCTTTCTTGTCTTGAAATTACCAGCACGCCTTCAAAAGTCTCCTTTGAGGGCCAAACATAACTAAAAGATATGAACATAGCTGCATTGGTTTTTCCCTCTTTGTTTATCCCAAAAGTAACAAGAGTGCTGCCAGGGGAATTTAAAAATCCTTTACCAAAATAGACCACAGCTCTGTCAAGAAGACTGACCTCTCAGTAAGTAAAGCCGAGAAGCTACTAGAGCCTTGTCTTAGACGTTTTGGCTATTGCTCCATTTATCAACATTAAAGAGCACTGCTTTGTGTAGCGTCTAAAGGCTCAAGCGGGGAGAGAAGCCAGGACCTCTGACTCCAGGATAACTCCATTTACCCTGTGAACATACAGCTGTGAAAAAAAAGAAGGATGGGTGGGTGTGTGCATGTGTGTAGAGGGCAGCTGTGGAAAGGGCTGAACAGACATCTTTTGTCCCAATAATAGCTCAGAACCAGAGCAACAGTTTGCACTGAATCCTTTAACTGATTTAGAAGTTAGTGATCCACACACTGGGAAGCCGTGCATCTGTAACTTTTCACGACCTAATAACGCGATCGTCAAGCAAATCCACAAGAGTATAACACGGCGCTGCAGAAGCTGAACCTAATCTGGTTCTTTCTGATGCCACTTTACAGATAGAGAAGAAACGTGTATAAGGACGCGTGGGCGGCTGTTTTTAACACGTTGCTTCTTACATTAGACTTGTGAAAAGTTAACTGTAATAAAGTATAAAACTGAAGGGGGGGCAGAAATGAACACAGCCTTTACATATTAGTCCATCCTGGAGAAGATCGATTATTATTAACTTTAAAAAAAAAAAACATGAAGCAGGGTCGTATGTGACTTTATCTTCCCCTGCAGTGTGGTTATAATTACACAGAATCTATATAGTGTAGTATGTAGCCTGTAGTGTTAACGATGAGAGCCCCTCCTCCCTTATTTCTTCTTCTTTGGTATTTTCTCTTCTTTTGTGCATTTCCCCTGTGGGGGAAAACCTGTCGAGAAGATGTCAATGAACCAGCACACACAAAGCTGTTGTTTAAAGAGTGACTGCTGCTGGCTGACAGTTACTGCTAACTAAGCTAACTTACATGTCGTATATTTGTTCTACTTCTGGAGCTTCAGGGGAATCTACATGGAGGTTCTGTTTCATCGTGTTATCAGGATGAATCTGATAACCATGAAAAAGTGACCACTGTGACGACATCTTTCCTGTCTTACCAACACATTGGATAAGGCCACCACACAAACTACAGAATCTTTATTCTTTCTGTTAATGTACCTTAAAGTTCACTACAGTCGCCTGCCTACTCTAAAAATAGTTGAATTGCAACTGAAAAACTGTCTGGTTTGTGCACACCTTCATTTTGTTTTTTTTGCACAGTTCCTTCTCAAAAGCAGTATGCCATGTGGCTACTGTTCATTTCTGAACAAATAACTCCTGAAAGTGATCATGCTCGGAAAAGTGAGCTCAAATGAAAACTGCCACTGTGTCTATAATGCCCCCTTCTTTTGAAGCTCTGTCTGCTTCAAAGTGTACTAGACTCACCTTCCTATTTCTGATAAAAGTTGAATTACAACTTTATTAACTCATTGTCTGTTAGACACCTCGGAAAATTATCACTTTTCTTCTTGAAAACTTTTTATCAGCCCACAAAGGACTGCCAGTGTTCATCTCTCTATGAGCAAACTCCTCAATCTACATTCCTTCCTTCTTTTCAATTTTCTGAAAATTTGACAAAAAGCACTTTCCTGCCAACTTCACAAACTTCCCAGCTTCACAAGCCACCGCATTTCATTATAAAACAGAATGTCCAGGAGCGCCGGTGGTGAAGTGTTTGGTGCGCAGGCCCCCCATGTGCGGAGCCTGTAATCCTCCGGGCCGACGGCCCCCGGTTCAGGTCCAGGTTTGTGGCTCCTTTCCCACTTCTCGTTCCCTACTCTCTCTCTCTTCCTGCTTTCAAACTCTATCCACTGTCCGATCTCTGACACGAAGACATAAAAAGCTGCAAAATAAATCTTTTTTTTTTTTTTAAAGTCTGGTCATTTACCCGTCTTGCTACAGTTGAGTTCCTCACAAACAACTCCTGATCTTGGTGCTGAGATAAACAAAATACTCCTTCATACTTCAAAAATCAACATTCCTCACGTCCTTACAAGCTCGGTCCCCCTGAAACTTTCACTAGAATAACACACTCCTTGAAATGGTTGAAATGCAACTAAATAAAGTTTCTAGATTCTGAACACACCACAACACACGTCTCAGACTGAAAACAAGTGACAGAGAGCATTTCTTCATGAAACAACTCCGGCTGGAGAAGAAGGACAAACTACAACTGCCTATTATCAGACCTGTGCTTTTTCCAGAAACTTTGACTAGAATTTCCTTTTTAGTGCTGGTTATTGTTGCATTACAACATCATAAACTTGCTGGCTTCTGAACATCTCATCATCATGTATCATTTAAGCTTTGTTGGCATGAAAATGTTACTAATATCACCTCCTCAGGCCTGGCAACGGTCTAAATGCAACTTTGTTGGCTAGCAAACACCATCACAAATCACTACATTTCCTTCTTAGACACAGGATACCCACCCTAAAATCATTGCCAGTGTGCATTTCCTCATGACCAACTCCTGAAACTGATCACTGTAGCTTAGATAAACAAACTACATGTGGATCCGCCACCCCTCTGCACAGGGGTCAGCGTTTCCGGTGGTTGCAGATTGCATCACAGCACTTACCGGGGAAGGGGGGGGCACAGGGCGGCTAATGTGAAGGCGTGGCTGTGAGGAACGGCTGCTTTGATCAAGGTTAAAAGCAGTGTGTGACGTATGTCTGCATGTGTGTGCATGCATGTGTGTGCACTATTATCTACTCCGAGCTGTGGCTTTCACCTGTCGGGTCCTTTCATATCAGATGAAGGAAAAGAAAATGAGAGGAGGCTTTTAAAGACTGCTGAACTGAAAGAAGTGTTTGCCTCTAAAAGTCTAGGAAGAGTGAATCCTTTAAATGTTTTGACAGTCACCTGCCTGCCAGCTAATAGTTGGAAGTGAGTGCGTGAGTAGGAGAGTGTGTGTGTGGGTGTGATTTATGTACCTGCATTTGTATGCGCTGAGTGTCCACATCGCAGACTGTGTGTCTTTGGTTAGTGCAGTGAGAGATGCAGCAGAATGGACACAGAGCCACCTGCTCCTCCTCACAGTGGAGAAGCCTGTACTCCTCATGGCTGGGACAGGTCCAAGCGCTCAGCTCCTCCGCGTCCACTAACAGGTGTCCCGGGGCGGGGCACGGCTGCTGCAGGTGAGTCTGGATGTGAATTTGGCAGCAGGGCTCCTTACAGCGCAGACAGACCTTCCTCACGGGAAGCGGCGGGCCTCGTCTGCAGAGGACACAGTGCAGCACCGCGGGGGCTTTGTCAGTGTTCAGCGCGTTAAACCGCTTCACTATGTTGGCCAGCTTAAAGTTCTTCTCCGGCGCTGGTTTCTGGTCGTACTCGTGGTTGCATTCGGGGCAGCGGACCACAGCGGCGTCTTTGGCCCATGCCTCGGAGATGCAGCCCTTGCAGAAGTTGTGCTTGCACGGCAGCTGGATGGGTTCTTCGAAAACGTTCAGGCAGATGGGACACAGGAGCTCCTCTTCGAAGCAGTTTTTCCAACTCTCATCCATGACTACAGCTGGGTCCAAACTGCTGCTGACCAAGAGGAGCAAACGTGACAATTACTCTCTAAATAACAAGATTTTAAAGAATGACCCTTTACAACAGCAAACGGAGTATTAAAAAAAATAAGAGGTAAGATTTATTCAAAGTCATGTTAAACTGAGATATAACAATAAAAATAATAAGCAATATTCATGGATAATTAACTATTTCAATCAATCAATCAATTTTTATTTGTATAGCGTCAACTCATAACAAGTGTTATCTCAAGACACTTTACAAAAAGCAGGTAAAATACCTTACTCTTTGTCTTTTAACATTACAAAAAGCAGGTAAAAAGACCTTACTTATTGTTATATTACAAAGCTATTTGTAAGAAATACAATCAGCATTCAAGACTATAACCTTATTTTTACTTTACCCAAAATGTCACGGAAAGATCAGAGCCAAGTAAAACCACAGGTGGAGAAAATCTTAGTAAAAGATTATTCATAATGCATTACGATGAGCGAATGGAGTCATGATGAGTCAGGGCAAAACTAAGATTTTGGTTCTGCATAATGGATTGCTTGTTTTATTAAATAAACAGGCTACTCCATTGAAATTAAGCCTATCACATAAGCTACTTAAAACTGGCACAAAGAAAGATATGGAAGATATGAAACAGCCTGCAGGCCAAGAAAACCTTTTAAGGTAAGGTTAATGAAGGGTTTGTTACATAGAGATGAAACATGTGAGGTTAGTTCAAGAGTCAAACCATGAGGTGCAACTACAGTCAAACTTCAACCCAAACATGTCTAAAACTATTTTTTTTTTTTTTAAATGAAACAGTTCACACTGTCTCTCTAATATATGGCTTTCAATTAACGTTGGGTAATCCAATCCAGGGCGATACAAGCTGTGGCGTTTGAGAGCGAGTGACAACTTGCTTCAGAATAACACTGGAAACGGGACTCTGCCTAATGAAATGTCACACTGACTGAGCTACACTGACCTTTTATTTTAAGTCAGTCACAGCTGACCCGCTGTTAAAAAAAAACGCGTTAAACTAGTGAAATTAATTTTTTTTTTTAGAATAGGAAAGCAACGTTACCAACTATTTATTGTCCATTTCGTCGGCGGACTCCGGTTCGCTTTTTAAAGCCGAAGAGCTTCACTTCCAGTCCGCGAGGAAATCCAGCTCGTCCGGTTAGATTTCAACAATGTATCCGACGTTTTTATAACCGGCTGTTGTCCAGCTGCTTTCGCTTTCCCGTCAACTCTTTGACTAATATTTAATGGTAACTGCGAGCAGACTGTGACTCGTCGGTAAGGAGCTCAGTGCTTTCACACCGACAGCCCCCCTCCGACAACGTGACCCGTCACAGAGTTGATAAATAGATGGGGAGGAGCCGAGGAGGAGGAGGAGGAGGAGGAGGAAGACCAGGGAGCAGCAGGCCACAGCAAACTCTACTGGAGAGATTGTTAATGACCGGGAGACATTTGTGTGACCTGTCATCCTCTGCACCACTGGTTCTCATAAAGAGGAGAGTCCTGGCTGGCTGGGTAAGAGGCCCCCAGGGGCCCATGAGAGGGTTGGTGCACGAGGAGTAACATTAAAACACTGAATCACACATGGAAAAATGATAATAATAACCGTGTTTGTACAGCCCTTTTCATGCAAAGATACTGCAGCAAATGTTTTGGGAAATAACAGATAAAAAAAAAAAACACAATACTGATTAAATAAAAAACAGCAAATAAAAATGAGGTCATTTGAGTTAAACAATTTCTAATGCCATGTGCACCATGTGAGTACAACTTTGTATTGAAAATAGGCTCTCTAAGAGTCAAGGCAACGACATTAGTTGGTGAGGAGCTTGATATGGTCCATGAGTGGTGCCAATTCATGAATAATGTGTTAGATTTTGGGGGAGGGGGAGCTTATTGCCTATTAGATGGGACGATGGATAGACTATCGGAGAGAGAGAGAGAGAAATAACAAGCTAGAAAGTAGCCACAGGGCAGACTTGAACCTTAGGACCACCCACTTTGAAGACTTCTGCCTCCGTACATGGGTCGTGAACTGAACCACAAGGCCACCTGCACCACTCCAGATATAACTTAACTGAATAGCTTACATTGAACTGATTTAAATATTGGTATATGGTATACAATTAGCCTATGCCCACTTTATAACATGTGCCTATGTATTTTATTGGGACTCATAAAACAATAAGAATCATGATACAATTAAATCCATTCATACAAACAAGTAAAGTTTGAGTTACGGTTAAAAACACAGGAACATTGTGTCTCAGCAAGTAGAAAAACATGTCTGATAATCACAAGTGAGAAGTGCTGTATCACTGCAGCCATACACCACCTACAAGCAACTTTAAAAGAAATAAAACTCCTGTAATTCTGGATTAGTTTTACAGCTTTTATTTGTGTAAATACCTACACTCTTTAATGCACTTGGGATTACAATCAGCCAGTTCTGTCAATAGGATGGCATTTACAAAGAAAAGGCACGTCTAAACTTGACACTTCTCACTCTGAATAATAAAAAAAAAAAAGACAAACATAGAGAAACGTTCACATATGAATACGAGCACGTCACTGTAAAAGACACGGCAGTAAAGGTAGTCTGTTCTCTGTTTTGGTGTTAATATGGAATGCAATGAGGAAACAGGAGGCAGACGATGAACACAGCGGCCTTCATTAGTCGTGACATCACAATTGAGGCGCTGTTGGTGGCATTACGAGTCAACAGAATTTGTGCTCCTTTAAAACTCAAGGCACTGAGGAATTTAACTACACATGTACTTTTTAAGCAGGTCCTAGCATTAAGGGTGGGGGGGTTGGGGGGGTTGTTACCTGTATGTGGCCATCGGAGACAACACTTAAAAGAGACGACAAGGAACACAGTTTCCTTATCTTTGAATGTTTGCAAAAGACTCACTGTATTAAGTTTCTTAACTTTTGAACACAAATAATAATGCGTGAGGAAACCGGACACTGACATTCACATTTTCTTTCATTTCATTTTCATTTCTCTTGGCACATAAGAGGGGAGGTGCAGCATTATTTTCCAGATATCTATGAAAACGGTTCAAATGCTTGTTTGGTTTTCTCAGAAAACCAGTGAGTAACAGTCAATCATCCTGTCCTGTCATTATTACAGAATCATGACACATTTGTGACAGACAGTTCTGGCAGCAGTCGGCCAACAGCTCAAACTTTGGTATGACCACAGACACGTAATAGAAAAATGTCCAGCATTTGTCAAAAAAAACCCAAAAAAAACACTACTAAAAAGGATACAAAGTTGAAATTTTCTGTCCTCTCTAAGGTCAATGGAATAAATACAACTGCTTTTCAGACTCATCCACTCAGTTATTGTTTTGGGCAGGTTCTTGTCTGTTCTAGTGACGTATATTTTGGACCTCAAACCTTGGCAGGCCTGATTGGAGAGATGACGACATCCTTTTTTTGCCCTTCAGCAAGTGTGTCACACTTAATGATTATGCTTTCAGGTCTAACATCTGGACAGGCTGGTTTTCAGGCTGATTCCATATTTTCAAAAGTATTCAGACCGCAGAGGAAAACTTGTAAACAGTATGAACTAGTCTGAGAATGCAGTAACAGTCAAACGTGTTTAGATCATCTACAGGAGTGAAACAGTCTCGTCCGTCACCAGAGCAACATATCTGACTGCTCAGGGTCGCTGCATGTCCTGGGAGATTGTCCTGTCCACAATGGTCCACTCTGGTAGTGTTTCTGCAGCTGTGTTGTGTTTCTCTGGAGATTAGGTGTCTCTGTTTCACTGCAGTGGATTATCAAACACAGAGTCTGGTAGTACAGAGATCTTCAGCTTCTTTTCTGGCCAACTGTACTCCTTTGGCAGCTTTGTCTATAGAAAGAATTAAAAAAAAAAAGGTACAGAAAAGTCAAACAGGAAAGCAGTTGAATAAACTCAAAACAAAAGTTACAACAAAGAGTTTTTTTTTTCTTTACCTCCTCACGAGTGTTGAGTTCTTGTAAATCCCCGAGCATCTGCTCCACAAACTCTTCAGTCAACAAAATCTAAACAATGAGAGCAGAAAGTCAAACAGATGTGATTCAATATAAAGGCATTACATGAAGGAGTAAGTTTAAGTTGGGTTTTATGTACCTGAAGCCAGGGGCCATGTGCAGCATATGGATGCTCTTCAGTAGCAAAAGCTCCTTCGACTCCAGTAGAAACAAAGGTAATGGCTGTGTCTCCGTTGATACTCTTATAAGTGAAGTGTCTCCCATGAAGCAACCGGCCTCTGTAAGACATGAAAACACAGGGCAACATAAACAAAATGCATGAGTGTGTGGTTTTTAATTTATAAAATCTGAGCTATAACTGTATATCTGTCCCTCCACAAGGCAATACCAAGGGTTTAACCCGACCTGTGTAAGACAATGTGAGAACAATATTGTTTGCAGTTATAAGAATAACAATTACTGTTGCATGTTTCATAATGTGATTTAATGGACTAAGCACATTTATAAATGTCTTTGACTCCACTGTGATCGTGGTTAATTTAGTGTGACAAGAGATATTTTTTGAAACTACAGTATCAAGGGATCAAATCAAAGTGCAAGATCACCCAAAAATAGCCAGAAAATATAGCACATAGGGAACATATCCATAGACTCCATTGCTCAGGAGAGAGAAAAAAATCTTCACCTCGTTCTAATCAGGTGTGTTGCTGAAATGCTCGCTTATCTGCAATCACTGAGATAAAAAAAAAAAAGAGTTTGTATGCAACATTTCCCGTAAACACTCCCTGTGTAGGTGTCGTATAATTGGCCCAACTTTAACTCCCTTCACTCTCACACAAAAGTCTCTCTGACAATCAACTCTGGCCTTGGTCTCTCTTCAGACAGATAGCATGGAGCAGCTTTATCCTTGTCTCCCGTCCTGTGCGGAGGAGTATTTCATTAAGAAAAAAAATATGCAATTTCTTTGGGTTCATTTGAAGTTGAAGGTTACAGATCCAGTTGTAAACCAAGACCAGATAGTTGTCATCCAAAGTGTTTCATCAAAGGATTTAATGTTTCACTGTTGTCTTTATTTTAGAGATAGATTCAGAAATAGGAGAGAGAAAGAGTGTTGAATGACATGCGGGAAAAGGAGCCCCAGGTCAGATTTGAACCTCAACTGCCCACTTGGAGCGCGCCCTAACCACTAGGCCACCAGCACCCCTTATGTCATCCTTCTTCTAATGATTTAGCCTTTTAATTCATCATCTGCTTTATTTATTTTACTGCTCTTAACAGTTTTATTCATTCCTACCCCTTCTGTTGCTTTTATTTATTTATTGAACATCTATATTTTCTTCTTCCTTTTCATAATTGTTTATAGTGTCTTCTTCTTTATTTTTGACTTTTTTTATCTTGTATTTAATTTTCTTTAAACATATTGCTTGATAGCTTTAACTGCCTCTCGAGTCCTGCACATTTTCTCTTTCTTGTGATCTGCATTTATATTATTTTTATACTCTCTGATATCTGTTCTGTTGTTGTCCTGAGTTTGTGCCTTTGCTTTGTCTGTCAAAGCACTTCTTTTTCTTTCTTTTTTTTAAGGGTGCTACATAAATAAAGTTATTCTTTTATTAATGTGCAGGAATAAGATCACAAAAAACATCAGAAGTACAGGGTACAGGACTTGAGTCTATATCCTTTCTTCAAATTTTCAGGTGACCATTCATGTCACAGGTTACATTAATCTTTACTTTGAAGCCATTCTGCCAACTACAAATAGCTCCAGGCTACTAAAAAAATGGCTACTTTTTTATTTATTTCATTGACACTTTGAAGTTGCATCAAAGTGAAAGAAGAAGGAGGTGGAAAATCAGAGTTTGGGGCTGACTTGCCAAAAGCCCCTTTTTAACTTCTGAGAACGGCGTCATCGGCATTTTTGCTCTGATGATTTATAAAGGCAGTCCGCCACACCCATCCAACAAGAATGTTTGGGATTAATCTTTATCTAGCTGCCGTAGGGACATTCCAAAAGGGTAAATATTGTGTGTGGAAGAAGGCGAGGGAGGGATAGAGTACCGCAGGCAGAGAGGAAGCAGTGTGCCCGACTCCTGGTTAAATTTTAGGTGGACACTCTCCAACTGCCGTGTTCGGACCAACTCGTGAGGAACGATTGCTGCCGAGCTCTCACTCTCCAAACTGTCCTTCCGACTCCTAAGAAACAGACAGAGAAAAGGAGAAAAGTGTATGTCATTTTGGAGAAATTGTGAATACAGCTTCTGTGCAGTAAATCTTGTCCTTTTCCTGTAATTGTTAACTTATTTCACAACCTCTTAAAAAGAGCTGCTACCTGATTCTGCAGAAGAAGAAAAAACTACAAAAAAAGTGACTCGCCACTGCGTCACGGTGGTAGCTAAGAAACAATGGCGGTAACAGTCCGGATGTCAGTTTCATGGTGAGTCACTGCACATGTTGCTGGGAGTTATCCTCGTGAAACCCATGTGTTGAGCTGGACCTGTGTTAAAGTGTGTGTGTGTGTGTGTGTGTGTGTGGGAGGAACACTCACTGAGGTCTCTCATGGCTCTGCTGTCTCTGGCTGTTGATGGGTGGTAGTGCTGCCTTGCTGTTAAACTCCAGTCCTTTTCTCAGCGTCTCCCTGATCTGCTCTGTGTCTGTCAACACACGGACAAGGATCAGCATGGAGTTATCCCATCATGCACTGCTGACAGCGTGAAACCAGAACTCCTCCTTACAGATCTTTGGTCTGCTCAGTCTTAATCGAAGGGTCTACTTTCCTTCACTCCTTTACAACATGCCGTACCTTTGTCTGAGAGCCTCCGTTGCTGTGACCCTATGCAGATGGATCGGCTGTCCTCCTCATCCTCTGGCGGACGACTCAGATCGTCCCACACACACTTGGCGCTGACCCCACTCAGGTTGGAGCCCTCCGTCTCAATACCCTGGTCCACTCTCTCCTGCTTGGATGAGCAAGAAATATATACGCAATCATTAACACCAGCTCACATAAAACTCACATATGGTTTACATTTCAGACGTGAGAAGACACTGCTTTGAGAGTTATGGGCCAACAGAGGGCGCTTAGTTTGTTCTCAAATGTACAGATGGCCACCTTTTATCTATTTATGTCTTTATACCAGGAAAACCAGTTTGCCTCGACTGATTGTTACGTAACTCTTGATAGTTTTTTTTAAACTCTATTCTGTTCACTGAGCTTTTGTACAGTCAAAAGGATTCACAGTAAACCCCCTGTATAAATGATAAAAGGATATTATGATGTTACACAGTTCATTTGCAAAGGGACAATATCATATATTGTACTAGAGTAAGCTTAAAACTAATTTTCACCTGCATCTTCATATATCAAAATGCACAACAAGCTAGCAGCCGTTAAATACAACATGTCACAGCCTGTAAATACAACATATACCGGTAGTGCTCAGCTGTGCAGAACTTAGTAAAGCCTTACTTGTAGGTGAGGATCGATGTCAAAAATGGTCTCCCCTCTCCTCATGTCTGTGATTAGCCAGGGGCCACCCGCTCTGTACACAGGACGATCATAAACATTAGTCCCACATAGTATTCAACTTAAGTTACACACACACACACACACAGTTAATATATAAATCAGTAACTGTGCTCTCTACTGGCTGCCCAACGGTGCATCAGTCTAACTGGGCTGGATTCCTTTTACACTGGAGTGACACTGATGGGACTTGTTTCCTGTTTTCAGCTAAGTTCACTTTGGTTTAATGACTGACCGTTTGGACGGAGAGTTGAAACTATGTACCGGAAAGTAATGAAGTCATCCGTATTGATTTGCTAACAATGGAAGCAGATATGAGCTGTGATTGGATAACCCAAAAAAATAAGATTGTGTAATTATGAACACTATGAAATTAGAATCTGTCTGATAATTTGAGAAGTACATAGCCTACAAAATGTTTAAAATGACACGACCAGCAGTTTCTTCACTTGCTGATAGTTATATCTAAAGAGCCTTAATTAGTGATTAGAAGTACCTGTGGAGGTAAACACATGTAGAGAAACTCAAATTGCATGTCTCCCTTGTCCTGAAAAAAGTCATAGATGGATTGAAATGTCAACATTTCTCCACTTTCTCCTCAGCTTGAGAAACTCTTCATCCTGTTAAAAGTCCTCCTCACTCCTCCTCACAGTTAAACGCCTCAGGAGCTCTCTTAAGGGCTAGGACACTTTGTGAATAACTTTCATCTTTTCAAGGAACTCGTCAAACTTTGAGGGGAAATTGTTACAAAATGTCCCGATTTCAATAATTTTATTAGAGTTTTGTACCTAGGAGCAACTCTTAGTACTTAGGAGGCTTTGTGAATACGGCCCCTGGTACTTCACTTGTTATGTACGCTGCCCAATGCTCATTTCCTCTCTGAGACAATAAATGTAATTTTTATCTTGTGGTAAAAACTCATCATCTATCAAATAGAAATGCACTTATACAAGACCGATACTAACTCAAGATGTGTTCCGAGTAAAGTTATCAAACCTGCACAAAGAAATGAGGAGTACTAAATCACATGGTATAACAGCTAATATTTTGATCTACTTATTCTAGGACATAAAGAAGAACTATCCTGATTTGGTTTAACTTATCAACAACCAATTCTGAAACAAAAATCATTTAACAAAGCCCAGCTCGTACTCACATTTTGACTCCACGCATCAGCTCCAGGATGCCTTGGCCGTTCCACTGCTGGGCCGCCTGAAGCTCTTCTGTACAAACCCCTACAATCTGAAGGAGACAGTGCAGAGCATGAGGGGTGTGGTCTCCACTGTTGTTCATATCATGCTTCTCCTCAAGAGGTTTGACTTTATTTTTCATGACAAGTAGCCATCTCTTATCTGTACTGGTTTTATTATTAACTTGGATAAAATGTGTCAAGCAAATGATTCTCATACTGGTCAGAGATTTGTCCAAATTCTCAATTCAAATACCATAACACCATGAAGTGGATTTAAATTAAGGAGTGCTTCTTGTGAAATAACTACCACTGTGTGGATAGTGTATATTTTGACTGACCTGGAGAAAGCTCAGTGTGCCAAATGGAGTTTGAATTGGTTGCATCTGTGGATCCTCTGTTAGCAACATATGCTGGATACGAGACTCGCTGTTGTCTAGAGGACTGTGCCACGACACATGGTCGCCACTACAAAATGTATTTTCTGTTAAAGAGAGAGAGAAAAAGGAGATATGTATCTTTAAAGTATGACAGAATACACTATAATAAGTTGCCAAGAATACACTCTGTCATGGGTCTTCATCGGCAAAGGGCATTTCCAGCTACCAGAGGGAGGCGGTCCAATTTTCCATTGTTCAGAGAGTACAGGAATTCAGAAGAAAAGTAGCAGTAGCAGGAAAAGATGGAACACAAACAGCAGAGAAAGAGAATGAGAAAGTACGAGAGAGAAGTCCAAGATGTGACAAAAAAAAACCATAAATACAACATTTCCATCGAAGGAATGTGTCTACTTGGGAGGTAACATGTCCCACGTCTTGATTTGCTGCAGAAGAAAAGCAAAGGGGGAAGATGGCCAAGAATCAGCATTAACTTAGCTCAGGAGCCCAGCCCACCCACGCACAAATTGACCCCAGCTGGATAGGAGAGAAGGGCTGGGTAGTGATGAGGGGAGAAAAGCCTTCTTCTCTTTCCTCGTGGCTTTTAAATGCCCCTTTGCTTCTCAACAACACTTTCCTGTGCACTTTATGAAAGACTGAAACGACTTAGCACCAGATAATACACCCATTACCCAGATTATAAATTAGCACTACAACAACAGTCTTGTTAGGCTGTTTTTACAAATGGCACAGGGTAAGAAATGGTAAATCAGACTTCCTGTCAATGCCCAGAGCTCCAACACACACACACACAAATAGTGCATGCTAAACTGAAAACTGCTGCCTGCAGAGACTCATCTATCATGCATAAGAAAACAATACTTTTACAAAGAAACATTCTTTAATTTCACAAACCAAAAGTTGGTATGGACACCGAAGTAAAAGGGATACACTGTAGATGTGATAGATCAGGGGTGTCCAAAGTGCTGCCCGAGGGCCATTTGCGGGGATTTTCTGCGGCCCGTGACTTCAAATGAAGAATCAGAAGATTTTGGCTCGAGGCCTTGATTAAGATTGGCACATTATCTTATTTATTATTTTTCTTTTTCATGTTAACAAGGGCTGAACAATATTCCTATAAATAGAAAATGTTCAGTAACATGTATGTTGTTGTTTATTTTTTTAAAATCTACAGCTTTTACTATTTTCCACATTTTTTTGTAAACTATGAAAAAAAACCTATGCAAAGTTTTTACAAACAAGCGGACTGTTGTTTAACCGTTTAATGACCTGAGCTACATGCAGAAAGCTTTTCCAAAAAAATGAACCACGTCACAGACTGGATCCTGAGAAAAAAACAAATAAAGTAGAACAAAGAAATCAAAATATTTGATCTCCTTTAATTAAAGGGTATCTTTAGCGAGCCTTTTGATTCTGATCTACAAAGCCTTACTATTTTTTCAACTATATTTAAAAAAATAATAATAATCTGTGGCCCGCGAACAATTCTAACACGACAATTTTGGCCCGCAACAAAAAAAGTGTGGACACCACTGTGATAGATGTAGGACTTTGACTAAAAATGTTGTTTATAACTTTATCTGACATTTAGTTGCTTGATAAACCAATCCTCTTTGATATGTCGACAATATCATGAGCCGTTTTAAAGTCCAAAATAAGGTCTTCAAACTGGACGTTTAGTTTAACCTATTACTTAAAAAGCATCCAATGTTTAATGAAACCAGCTGTAATATTAATACCAATTATTACGTTAAAAAACCCCTCTGTGAAGGTTTTATATCTCAGAAGATAAATCATGTTAGAATACTTTCCTTATCACTGGGAAAAAAAACAAGAGTATGCATTCTCCTAATATTTCATTATTATTCTCACAGACGCTGGATTATTATCAAAACCAAATTCACAATTATTTGCCACAGAGTACGAGACAAACAGACTGTGGCTTAACCTGGATGTTTTGAATTGTGCAGCCTTCTCTTTTCAAAGATGCAAAGCCTAAGTACCACTTTGTTAAAAAAAAAAAAAAAAAAAATGACTTAACTCTTACCTGACTGGAACACATAGCGAGCCAAGCCTTGCATGAGTTCAGCTGGCCAGGTCGGTGGTGCCGTCTCGCCAACCTCTCTTTTAAGTCTAAAGGTGAGCTCAAAGCCAAAGCCGCTCGGTCCGTCTGCCCCCGTGAATCTAACACACAGAAAGACACCAGGTAAAACAACACGTCAGAAGCTGTACTTCCTTTGTGATACACATGTGGGATGTAAAAAAAAAAAAAAAAATCACAATGCTTGTCGAGATCACCAGGAGGCTGTTGAATAACAGAGGATAGTTAAGTGCTGTGTTAGTTAGTAGGTGGTCTACTATTCAATGGTTTGTTAAGCAAATATTTAGCACACTTAGATAGGCTTTGTTTGATCCACACAATATGATAGTAACTCAGCAACTTTTAGTAATGTTGTTACAATAGTGAACTTACTCATGAACCCTATTATCCCCATACAGGTCACTCAGGCCAAAGCTGACATAGTGCCAATGCTCCTCGATGTCCTGAGCTGGGCAGCCCATACTCCTGTACATGCTGATGTAGTCTAATGGATCTGGTCCTCCTAACCTGAGAGAAACATCAAATAGAAACATAGGCCAGGTCAAAAATCTGTGTTTACTCACAGCCCATGTGAAGACAAGTAGCCATGCTGGGAGGTCATGCCTTGTATACAAATAGTGTGCCACATGTAAGTCAAGGTGTAAACTTATTTTAACACACATTTCACGACTGGTTAGGCAAGAATAGTTGATATTAAACACTCAAATGTCCTATAACACAGCAGCAGCTACAGTATGTCTCCTGTGTAGCTGAGATGTTAGCTTAGCAGTTCAGCTCACTGTTGACCAAACATCTGGCCATCACTTTATAAACTTGTTATACACGAATTAAATGCAAGTTTCAGACTGACAGAAAACAAGGAGTCACCTACCAATACTTCACAATGGCTGTTACTTGGAGCGGGTTGGCCTGTTCGGGGTAAAGACGCCGGCATTCCCCGTAGATAGCTTGCAGTCCGGGGGGAAACAGCGGCACCAGCCCGTGGGCTGGAGCACCACTGGTAGGCCGTACCTCATCCATGCGAAGGCCTCGAACAAATCCGGTTTTTTGTATAATAAACAACGAATGAACAGTTATCTTCTTCTGTCCACCCAAAGTTCAATAAATAAGAGAAACTTGTGAATCATAAAAAGTGTTAATCTCGTACTGCTAAGCAACGAAATTTTAGGTTTTCCCCTCAGTCGTTGTGCTACACTCAGCAGGGACACAGCCTGTTGCGCATCCTCCACAAAAAAAAACGGCCTTCCCATTGGCTGAACAGGGATGGTGACGTAAGTGACTGGCGTCCCCTAAGACCAATGAGGAAGGAGGTTTGAGGTTCATGGTGATTTAAAGACAATTGTGATTGGCTGATACTCTGTCAATCAAATAGTAAGAAGATGCCTGGTTCTTCAAAGTCTTCCAGGAGCCAAATGATGAGTGTTTGGCCAAATGGGCCTTTGAAGAAAAGTGACGAGTGTGAAGAAGTAACTAGAATATTTATTCAATTGCAATTTTTTTATACCAAAAGTTAAATTTGCAAACTTTTTGCTAAAAAGTCCTGCATGAAATAGAGTAAAATTATACAAGTAGGCCAATTACCAGTAAAATGTTTTAATTAATTACATTAAAATGGCCCTTGTGAGATTACACTGTATATTACGTGTAAGATTTCTGTATATGTTGTTGTTTATCTGAAGTGCACATATACTTTTAAACTATTTTATTATTCAATTTATTGAACATGTTAAGAAATACAAACACAAAATAAAAAGGAAAAAAGCTAAATAAAAAAAACAAACTGGATCCTCAGAGCCGTAGCAACAAATAAATAACTCAAATAATATAGTCCATGTTCAAAAGGGATAGGACGAAGTTAAAAACTTTTCTGGTCGTACCCCTTGTTATTTTTGTGCATTATTCACAGAAAAATAAAAATGTTTTCATCAATCAGTGTATGATGTTGGACTTGTTGGCCAAAACAAATTAAGTTTTTAGACAAAACAACAACAAAAATACTGGGAACAGATTAACCAAGACCATCAGCCAAGAAATAACCAAATAGAAAACTACTTTAAAGTCCTCCTTTTTGTTGCTAAATTAAAAATCTAAAATGCATCATTTGTGAGAATCTGCTGCAGTACGTATCACGACTATCAAAATAAAAGGGAAACAGTTGACTTTTAAAATGTTAAGTTTCAAGTAGTATATGCGTATGGTTTAAACCCCTACAACTCCATCTATCACATTAAAAACTCGTTTTTATTTCATTTTTTTCTCCTTTTTTTTCACTTCTAAGTATAGTTTTGTAACCTCTCAGTCCAGAAAGCATGAAAAATAATACTTGGTTGCAAGTAAACCCTTCATAAAAGAAAGTTCATGTGGAGGAGTCCTCTGGTCAGAGTCGTAAAGTGAGATGAGTCAGAGTTCAGTTGAGATACACCCTTACTTTGAGGATGTAGTAATGAGGAAGTCACCATGTCACCATCCTTATTTGGAGGGGATGAGCCGGGGTCACGTAATGACTGTTCAGTCAGCATTGTACTGATCCTTGTACACTGTGCGCTCTGTGCTGTATTAGTTCATGGTTTGAATAAAATCCTCCTCTTGAAAGAGAATCAGACCATTCAAAATCTGAAATGTTGACATTTTAGTGCATGTCTGTAGGGATATAATATATCATACATTTTTTAACCTCATGATATCCTTCTTCTGTTAACCATGTGAGGCCTTACTGTATCTCAAATGAACAAGAGCAAGGAAGGAGTTCATTAAATGTAAATTATTTATTTCAGAAACATACAAATAAACATAACCAGCCTATTATGAGACAACACCAAACTGAAAAGAGAAAGTCAAGAGATTTCATCACAATACATCATAGATAAGGTATAATCATTGTATTTCATCTCTTACACAGTTCTGAGTGCCAGAGAGTGGCAACAGTATAAAAGCCGTAGCGTCTTATCAGCCACCAGGTTTCCCGCTGGAGTTGGTGGTGATAACCTTTCCACCTGACAAGCATTAAAGTGCCAGCTATTCTTCATTTTCTGAAACCCTTTTTAAAACTGGCCCATAATCCTCACTCTAAACATGCAGTTGAACAAAATCACCATAACAGCGTAAACACAGTCATAGCTGGAGTCTGGATGCCAGAAGCCATTAGACCCAACCAGGATGGTGAAAAATAAAACCACCATTATGGACCCTCTCCTGAAATGTTGCTTAATCCATTGTACAGCAGTTAGCATGAGTTTCAGGAATTTCAGGAAAGCAAATAAATGCTTTAAACCAGAAGTGGTTTACATCATGTTGTTTATTGAATTCTTCAGTACATGCAGCTGGAAACTTCGTTAGATTCTCATGATTCTCTAATTTAAAAGGATGTTTGCAGTTTCAGCTAATCTTATTGTTTAATCTAGCTAACTGCCATCGGCGAGGCTGTGGATTTTATGGAGCCAGAGTTGAGATAAGATCAGAAGAAAAATAACTCTGTGTGTGTGCATAGTATGAAGTTTCTTGTGGTTTTATAAAGACATTGTCCTTGAATGCTCTTTCTCAAAAATACAGAACGTACAGCAGGAATTTTAAAAGTCACATGACGAGAGATAATAAATTACAGAGACAAATTATTCAGTTTGATTCACTTTATTAACAATATTAAAAAGTACTTAACAGCAACTTTAATGAACCCTGAACAGTTGTTAAGACACGTTTGTATGATTCAGATAAATAATAAATGCAACTAAAAACGAGCAGCTTACCCATCATTTGAAGAAAAACGACAAATACATAAAATCCAAACATATTTCATAGCAACACTGAGACATGGTGCAATTAATTTAAGGCATTATTGCCTTCTGTTGGTCATGATTTCCGCTCTCTGGTGCTGTGCAGTGGTACCATACCAAAAGAACTGAGCCCATAGACGACACCTGAAGACGCCACCATCTATGGAATTCAGTTCTCATAGCATAGCACTTAAGAAAACTGAGGAGCTTCACAAACCCTGGACGGCTTGATCATTTGACACAACTCTCTCTAAGTTATAAATGCTCAGTTAATTTTACAGTTGAATGTCTTTGTATTGATGAAATAGACAATAATAACGCACTCTATCTGAAATAAAACAACATTAGTGTTATTAACAGGCTATGGAATATGAACATGTTGGGTAGCACGGTGAGGTTTAGTCACTGACGACTATCCCTATTTCTCAAGAAAAGTAGGGTGATGATGAGCGATAACATCAGCCCTCCGTCTTTCATTGGAACATTGTGCAAGAGGCCGTTACATTTGCAATGGAAATTGAGCAGTGTTCAATCACGGTTGGCATGGAAATTACACAGTAGAACAAGATGTTGTTTTAAAATAGACTTTGTCATGACTGGATTTAAATAGATTTTAGATATCAAAAACAAACCTCTACAATTAATTTTCAGTGCTGGAGTTGTACAAATCTTATGGAGTCTCCAACCATCCCCTCAACTCGAGTGTTCCTGGAAATGCTTCACGACCACTGAAATGAAACTAAATCAGATCATTGCGATATCCCTCTGGCCAGGGACTGGAATGAGTCATCATTTATGGCTGAACACTCCCAGGAAAAGAACTTTGGGACAGTTAGATAAGTAGCTGGTTGATGTATGTTTGAAACCGTCCATGATAAGTTGGATATTAACCTGTGTTGTTTTACAGGATCTCTACCTTCCCTTAAGAAAGGATGGTGGTCAATATTGACTGTAGGACTCTACAGTGACAGTGACAGTACAGTAAGATAAATCCTCAATGTTATCTGTGTCTCTGTGGTTCAGTCAGTGTGAGTGCACATTCTTTTAGGAGACGTGTAATATGGCACAATGAACTTTTGGCGGAAGGCCACACCTGAGCATGTTCAGGAAACTCCTATCTTTCCGTCAGTTAGACTGGGAAACAACCGGTTCTACTGCCGATATGACTACACACGAAACAAACCCTATTAAGGCTTTAAACCTTGTGTGAAATATAATTTAAAGCTATCATTACAAATATGACTTGCAAACACAGTGTGCCAGCTTTAACATTCTGTTAACCCCTTTTAGAAAATGTGGAAGTAGGTTATTCTTAGGAAGGCCTCCAAACTGTGTTAAAGCTTTCACAACTTAAAATGTGATGACAATTTGTATCATTTAATAAAAACTATGGCATAAATTGAACAGTTTAAGATGGTCTCTTACCTTTACTTACCACTGTCCTTCACTGAAAGTTTGCTTTCCAGATCGTGGATATATCAGAAATATATGTCCTATCGAAGGCCTTCCAGGACTATTGTTTCGCAGAGTCAAGTGTTAACCAGATGTGAGCAGTCAAAACAACAAAAAAGACATTTCAGCAACGTGTCTTTCCTTAGATTGAACATACAGCAAGTCATCCCTCCTCAGTTCACCTGCGTGTTCGGCTCACTCTCCCATGTCCTCCAAGTCCCCAGAAGGGATACGGCATACTGTGTGACATTCAGGGCAAGGAACCTTAAATACCACCACCTTTCACATCACCCATCAGTCTCCCTCCCTCCCTCACACCCTCCCCTCTATCTGTTTCTCATACACTCCCTCTGTTCGGTAAGCCTGACAGTCACTTCCCAGTAAGAAGGAAACAGTGGGAGTGAACAGCACGCCCCCTCACAGTGAATCAACACATAATAGTTTCTGAGGAAAACCATCTGACTTGCCCTGCCCCCTGTTCCCATAAAGTAAGCAGGGGAAAGGCTTCGTCTACTCGAGGAACTAGGAATTCCCCCACAGGCCGTGAGCAGCTGTTGAGATGAGAACCGATGACGAAGCCGACACACTGGAAGTTTTGCAGGCCGGGGATAGATGCAAACAGAAACTGTACTTGGTGTTGAGTATGAGTGAAACAGTCTTACACATACAGTATGATTACACAATAGGGAAACTGGAAATTCTGTACAAACACTGTGGGTGTTGAAATGCACAGTCAAGTTTGAGCTGCTGACAGTATGTTTCTTAGAAGAGTGATTTATATTTCTTTAAATTATCAGAAGGGCTCACAGGAGATCATTCATGAGAATGTTTGCGTATAGTATGTTAGGTCAGGCTGAGGTGTCTGCGATGGAAATGTCTTGCTAAAATAACTTTGTTTCCTCTCTAGTCATATAGTCAAACATTTCTTGTATGTAATGGTGATAGTGTTCGATAAGGTAACCATGACGGCAGTCAGCTTTTAAACAAGCCAATGCCCTGTTTCATTGTTCAGTAACCTTG